CCTGATTTGAGAGATAGGAAGCACAATCACAGTAAAAAGAGTTTACAAGCTTGAATAACTCTTAAGACACACGTATCGTACTCAATACGAGCCTCATAAATAGGTCTACGCTGTTAAACATGACTGTAAAGGCAATGTTCATATTTGGATGTAATTCTCCAACAGAGGGAGACAAAGTCTTTGAAAATGTAAAGTTGAAATGTAAAGCGCGCAATAGTCCTGTGCAAATTTACTGGCACTCATTTTCTGGGGTGAGAAGAATCTGTAGGCAGTAATATGTTTCAATGGTTGTGCAGCTGAGTATAAATTCAGTTTCGTCTAGGCCTCATGTGTCAAACACAAGGCCTGCGGGTCAAGTCAGACCTGTGGCACATATTTCTATTAATATTAGCAGTGGTGGACGAAGTACACAAATAATGTACTTGAGTTAAAGTAGAGATACCCAAGGTAAAATATTACTCCAGTGAAAGTAGAAGTCCTCCCTTTAGACCTCCACTTGAGTAAAAGTACAAAATTATTTGCCTTCAAATGTACTTAAGTATCAAAAGTAAAAGTACTGAAAGATTAATCATGACTCTAATGTCCTCTTATCATTTTTGAAGACTCTTGCTTCATTAACTCATTTTAGGTGAAAATACTCCAGTGTCACTCTTGGTGAACCAATCTTTTAATAGAATGTCATTAATTAGTCACTGATGTCTATTAAAATTATCATAAGCACAAAACACTGAAGGCAAACAATTTCCATTAGGTAGAACCAAGTGGCTCTGAAATAACTTTTTGCAAACAAGCAAAGTTTCAGTTTAAGATTTATTTGCAACTTAGTTACAAGTTTAAGTTTAATAAAGCTTGCTTTAAACACAGGTTCACAAATGTGTTTTCCTTTACTATATTGCATCTGTAGGCCTCTGTTCATAAACATAAACTAGCCCAAACAAATTTACTATAAAATGAAGTAGTGTTTGTATAAATTCAGAAAAATGACACATGCCAGTCACAACTGCATATGTGTACATATTTCTGTATTGTGGTCTATTTACACAAAGTTAGGTTAGTCCATCATTTATGTTGGAATAGACACTCCAAAAATTTTACACTGCTGCACTGATGTTGAACCGTATGCTTGCACTGGGTCGGTATGTCCAGTAGGTCAAAACAAAGTGCGCGTGAAAAAGTGCTCTTGCTTGATTGGTGTTCTTGCTTCACGCTTCTTTCGTTTTGACATTTGACTTTGAAATGTAGTGGAGTGAAAGTAAAAAGTCACCCAAAATGGAAAAACTTCAGTAAAGTACAGATACCCAAAAAACTACTAAAGTACAGTAACAAATTAAACTTACTTAGTTACTGGCCCACGGATTTGTTGAGATTTTTTAATATGGCCCTTTAGTGGTTGAGTTTGACACACCTAATCTAGGCCTCTTTTAAAGTTCCAGGCAAAAATGTATGCTGTGTTTTCCTGATTTGAGTTAGCGTAACTGAGATAACTTTATGCAACTTTAGTGCTTTTTGTACTGTATTCCAGTCATTAGCAGCAGCAGATTGGAATAAGAAAAGACCAAAGGAATAGTTGCCAAAGTACCAATCAGAGTTAGTGGTATGTCAGCTTCTCAAGTTTCATTCCTTCACATAAAATAACAGCTCTCTGCTGCTGAGTCCCAGCCAAAACTCCCAGCAAGTTCCTTAAGCATTTTTAAATTTGTTATCAATGCTTGTTATGAAGGTTTATTACACAGTTGCTTATACTGTAGCTAGACAATGTTTCCTACTAGTGTTCCTGTTGCAGGATCCTACTATAACTGGTTAACTTCATTCACGAGAGTGCAATAGATAGCAAAATCCCACGTTTGACACCAATGTGGCGTTAGTGAAGACAAAGAGATGGGAAATATTTCGCTCCTACACCCGACCCCCACCCGCACACCTCAAGGCTCACAATGTTTGCCCACATTTGTACTTTACCGATGTCACACACAATAACGCACACAAGAAATTTATCCACATGTCCACAAACATGACTGTGCCAACTCACAATGGGAGCTTGTGTGACCTTACTTTTAGTAACATGGCCCAGCAGCTAGTTAGTTAACTATAGATTACGGATATTATATTAGTGCTGCTGAGCATTGAAATATCTGTAATGATATGTCTTTGATCTACCTGTCATAAGATGAACGCTTGAGTTTTCAAAATGTAGCTGCTGTAAAATGCAATTAGATCTCTAAAATGACCATTAGACAGCTTGTTCTCCATTTTTTATTTTCAGTCCCCATTCAGAGGTGAGGCTGAGAGGTTGAGAAGAGCAGAGTGGTCTGTTTTCCAGCAGGGCACACTGATCCTGCTAGCTAGGTGTGCCATCTCTAGCACTGTTGGCAGTGTCGTTCATCACTGCCACTGCCCTTGGGTTGGTTACATTGCCTGGGAGATGCTACTGTCAGTCATTCTGCATTCTGACATGCCCTCACAGCTCTGAGCAGGCAGCATCTTGAACAATTCATGCATTGATCTGTAACTTTTCTGGAAAATTGTGAACAGTGTTTGTGATTCCAAACTTTTGAATGCTAATATAAGCAGGTATCTATGAAGCAGGACCTTTTTGTTGTGGGACTAATAAGAGTCTCTTAATTTTTATTTGGTTTGATTTATTTGCCTCCCCCTTCCATATCCTCCCCTTCAAGTGCATTTTGGCGCTTGGCTGGCTGTTTTTGTAAATGCAAATATGTTCTTAATTGGTTAAATAATGGTTGAATATTAACTGAGAAAATCATATAAAAATGAAAATTATAATAAATGTCACACGCAGAATGCCTCATATTTGAAATGTTGTAATCAAATCTCAAAACAGATCACTTATCAAGAATGACTGTAAATACATAATTATTGTATTTTATTTAGCATTGACCTGGTCAACTTTCTGTTAAATAAAATATCTATAAAATATCTCAAAACATCTGGTGTCTGGCTTACAGTGTTTAAATCTACATTGTATGAGTTAAACTTGAATAAAATAAAAGCATTATTAATGTAACAGCTGATTCCAACATTTGAACAGTAGTGTATATTTTCACACACTATTAAAATGACCACAAGAACATTTGTTCTGTGATTGCTGTTAAAGCCATATTCATTTTGAATCATTATCATTGTATAATTATCATTATAAATGTTTTGCAATACAGTAGCATAGTGTTGACATAAAAACTACATTTCTTCTCTGCTGACCACAACTGCACTGCTGTTATGCTTTTTGTTTATCTGATATGCACTATAATCTGAAATGTACAGTCCGGTGTCTGATGCTCTGAGGAGCATTACATACTATTGTACTCTTGCTATATTTTGAATGTTTACTTTAGAAGCTACTTATTACTTGTGTAATGCTTACAATATTTGAACCTGCCAAATATTGTACACATTTTCCATACAATTTTATTGAACCATTTAACCATTTTACTCTTCATTAGGCACACACTCTGGTGTTTCCTCCTTAGTACAAAAACAAGTGCGTTGTTGTCTGTACTCTTCAATTAAACTGAACAGAAATGAATTGAATAGAGATTAACTGAACTGAGTTTGAGCCTTCCGCCCAATGACAGCTGGGATAGGCTCCAGCACCCCACCGCGACCCAGAAGGATAAGTGGTTTAGATGATGTATGTATGTATGTATGAACTGAGTTTAATTCAAGAGAGCTGAAGTGAACTAAGCTGAAAAGTGAACTCCACTGAATTAACCTGCCCCACTTTAAGCTGCCAGCAGAGGGCGACATTAGAGAAGCAGTCAATGATCTCAAAAACAACTGAATAAGGATAGAAAGAACTGAGCTGAATGGAATTGAGCTAAACTAAACAGTAAAGAACCTGATCCCCTTTAAACTGCCAGCAGAGGGCGACATTAGAAAAGCAATCATTGCTCTCGAAAACTGAACTGGATTCCTACAAGCGTCCCGACAGAAATACCAGAGTAAAAAGGCAGAGAGAGCACCGCCTTCACCACCAGCGGTCTTACAGTAAGCTTAAATGTCTGGGCACATCATTAAAGAACTACACTAAATCCTTTTGGCACTTCATTTGCTAGAAGGGAACTTGGTTTTGCTCGTGTTTTATGTTTCTATGCCTGTCTGGCTTTAACATCTTGTTCCCTATGACATTATTTCAAACGATTATGTCTTTCTTTTAATTACTTTCTCTCTCATTACAATTTAACCACTTAAAGTCTCAGGCTTATTACATCCTCACTTCATGGAATACAATGCAAACTGGCTGAGTTATTCCTGTTTGTAATAAAAGCTTGTACCTTTCTTTATTGAAAAAGCTCATCTAGCTTGTCTTCCCAAAGATGTAATTACTTCAGTTTAGTGACTAATCAAAACAAATTTTTTTTGCTTTCTATGTATTTTTTGTTTTATTCTCTTTTTAGTTGATGGTATACCCGTTTGTACCTCATGTACTGTTTGTCCTCTATGTTAATATTTCTCCTTCTGATCTTATGTGTTTTTTTGTTAATGTCTTTGAACAGAAGAAGGGTTCTTATATATATAAAATATATTATTATTATTATTATTGTTACTATTACTGTTATTATTATTATTATTATTATTATTATCATTATCATTGAAGTGTGTAATAAAGTTCAGGTCCTGGCCATTTGACAGTTTAAACTCAATTCAGAGAAGAGAAATAATCAGTCTGTTTACAAAATTCATGTGAACAAGTTTCTATATTTAAAGCTAGTAAGTCATATTTTATGTACATATAATACAACACATTCAAGTATGCAGTTTACAAAACAGGTAGCATATGAGCTTTCCACTTAAGGATAAAGGATTGGCACAAGCAGGGCACTTCAGAATCCGCTTCAGTACCTGATAGAAAAGTCCTGGAGCCCCACTCTGAATTACTGATATGTCTCAAACAACTCAATGTACAAAGAGAAGCATCCTATAAAAACCCAGTGAAGCATTCCTTGCCTTGACATAAATGTATGAACTCTAGATAACAAAAAAAAAACATTATGTACAAAAATACGGGTCCTGCCCTGTTTATCTCCAAAGGTCATCTCACACTAAATAACTTATTGTCTCAAGAAATCTCTCTCTCCTTCTTAAATACTGCTATAATTTAAAGTCCACATCATAGTTGTATGTACAGCTGCCATCCCAGAGCCTTGACTATAAGAAACTACAGTCCTTTACACGCTCCTTTACATGTGCCTCTTCATGTGCAGGGCCAGGTGATCCGAGCGGGAGAAGGCTCTCTCACACAGGTGGCACTGAAAGGGCCTGTGGCCAGTGTGTTTCCTGTAGTGACGGGTCAGCTCGTCTGATCTGGCGAACTTCCAGCCACAGCCCTCCCAGTTACAGTGGTAGGGTTTCTCTCCTGTGGACAAGTCAAGAAAAAAAGAGTATGAGCCAATGAGGAAAACAAGGATTTTTACTTACTTTTATTATTTTAAATGTGTATGTTTGCTTAAAGTTTAAGACCAAGAATCAGAATAATGCTGGCAAAACTGCACCCCAGAAAGGCCAAAAAGTTTATATTTAATTCAAATTAAATCACATTTTCCATACAATTTAGTCATTTATTTAAATGTAAACATTTAGACATAAACTTTCTCTGGCATCTAATTATTAAAAAAGGACTACTTTTTTTCTTGTACAATAATAAGTAGGTTTGGTCTAGCGGGAGCCAATAAGTGTAAATTAACTGACACAAAAAGATTTGTTGTGTCTCATTTACATTCAAGTTTTTTTAAGTTAAATTTTAAATCCTTGTCTAATATTGACATTTTTTAGTTTACAGAAGATTATATATTACAAATTTTAATTTCATGTTGACTTAATTTCTATGAGGGTCATATTTTTATTTTATGTCTTATTCCAATTACAGTGAAAGTGAAACTCGGTAAATGGAAGTCTCCTTACCGGTGTGAGTGCGCATGTGCGCTTTCAGGTGGGAGCTCTTGGTGTAGGTCTTCCCGCAGCCCGTGAACTCGCAGCTGTGCGTAGCCGCGCGCTTCCGCGCCCACGTGCGCCTCCCGCGCCTGGGCCTGCTCTGCTCCTCCGCGCGCAAGAGGTCCAGCAGCGGCGAAGAGGGCGGGGTCAGCACCGTCACGCCTGGATGCTGCGGCTGCTGTGGCTGTTGCTGCTGACCGTATGCGGCGTACTGTCCGTGATAGTGCTGCGCGTAATGAGGCGCGTATGGCTGCGCGTTAACGTACTGATGATGATGCTGATGCTGCACGTCCCGGGACAGCTGGGGCACGTGTTGGACGAAGGCGTGCGCGTGCTGCTCGTGCGCATGCGCGATCCCGACCCCCATCCCGTGCGCTTTGGGTCCGTAAAAGTGTCCCGAGTAGTCGGCGGTCATCATGCACGGCCGCTCGCTACGCTCCGTTTTCAGACCGTAGGCCAAAGCGGGATGCGCGTGCGTGGGCGTGTGCGCGTGCACGTGATGGTTGCCGAGGTCCGTGTAGTCTGTAGCTCCGTAGCTCGCGTCCGGCTGGAGGAGCTCGGCTACCAGCGGGCCGTGTGCGTCGTGCGCGTGGCCGCAGCTGTCCGGAGACTCTGGCAGGGTGTAGGAGGCGGGAGCGGGCGGGGCAGGAGCCTCGCTGGACAGAGAGTTGGACAGAATGAACTCCAGATCCAGAAACTTGGCGAGCTCGTCCTCGTCCTTGGACTCGACGATGCTGAACTCGAGCTCGATGAGCGGCTTTGGCGATTCCTCAGATTGAGCGGGTGACCAGTCCTGCACGAGAGAAATGGAGACGAGTGAGCACGGACACTTTAAAAGCGCTCTAACTTAATGAAACACAACGGCTAAAGAAGCTTTAACATCATTAAAACAGCAGACTGGCGCTGCTTTAACTCTGCTGTGAGCTGCTTTAACGTCTTTTGCTAATAGTTCAATAGTTTTAGAACAACAGTTTCTGCATAAACTTCTATAAAAACAGGCCAAAGACGCCTTAACTTGCTTAAAACCACTGATTAAAAATGTTTTAATCTAAATTCGTAAAAAACGGCTGTTAATGCTTTAGCTCCTTAAAAATAAGATCCTTTAACTTAATAAGCAGCTGTTTAGCAGCGTTTGAAAAGTGTATTAATCGTTTAAACTCAGCTAACAGCAGCCATGCTGTAGTGGCTTTTCTCAGTTAAAAGTCTTCCATTCTGAAACACCTCAGACTTTCAAAAGAAGTTGTACTTACTCGCACTATTTCAGCATGCTTCTCCTCCAGAGTCTGGCAGTCTGCGAAGGTGCTGATGGACGGCAGCAGCGCATCCGCTAAAGCCATGATACAAAGCTCGAGGAAACGCTCGCGAAAACGTTTTCAGAAAAAAAAACGTCCACGAACACGTTCACGCTGTGTTTACTGTGTCATGCGGTCCGAGAGAGCGGGAGCGGACACTGAAGGCTTCGTCTGACCGCCTCCTGTTTTGGCTGCGCATTATAAGGCGGGTTTGAATGACGCGTGGGCGTGGCTTCATGGCGATAGGGTTCGGGATCGTTTGATTGGCGCGTGGGCGTGGTCTCGTGGCAGAGGATGTTTTCACCTGGCAGAGGGGAAGGTGTTGTAGTTTCACTGTAGTACTCACCCCTGACAATGTTTACACTTAACCTGTCACAAACCAGGTATTATATTAGTCTTAGGTACTTTATTTATTTGTTTACAGCAGTTGTTTTATCTCGAATGAGGCCTATTTAATATTAAATGGCTTGACTGTAGAGAGTTTTGACAGTGTAGGGATCTGGTTGTGGTAACTGATTGTAGCTTGAGCATGACTGAATGAAATTAAGTTACATTTCTGTATGAATTTATCAGGGTATTTTGCAGCATTCAAATGTCAAATAAATTACATTTATGTAGTCATTTCTAATTCGTTTTGATGAACCTGTAAACGATTTTATTAGTTGTTTTGGTGGGGGGCGACCTGTTACAGATAACTGATAAGGATTAATCTCTTACAGAACTTACAGAGGACAAATTATGACCTATTTATGCATTCATTCATTCATGGACAGTTTCTGGGGTTCTGCTCTTTAAATAAATAAATAAATAAATAAATAAACGAGGAGCACAACAGGGGGCGCAAGGTATCCTCCCCTCTGGACAATCCGAATCCCAATCCAGTGGATTAGTGTTTACTGTTTAATTGTTTTATTGGTTTGGGAATAACAGAACTATGATTTCTGAAATTACATTTAAACACACAGACAGACGAACACACACATGCACGCACACACACGTTCTTGTTCGTTTTTTTATTTGAACATTCAGTACAAATAAAAGTCTGTCCTAAATAAATAAGTGTCAACAACAAATCGAAACCTTGGCCGCAGCCTTATTATTTTGAACAAACAAGAGTCTGTAAAATAAATTCGCAGGGTGAGTTTCGACCTGGGCAGCGGTGCCTTTGATATTCAAATAGGGCCTGATCCAAAGCACAGATCTAGAAAGACAAGAGGTTTAATATTAATTTGTACGGATCGAATTCACAAACGATTAACATGCGAATGAGTAGCTGCGAGAAATCTCGGAACCATCGAAACGACATGATGCTCTCAAAGTCAAACAGCGACCTAAATGTCAGTAAATGATCTTTAAGTTAATAAGCCTCTTCTCTCAGCTGATTACAATGCAAATCAAGACCCTCGGAACCGTGTTGGGTCAGTTTAACCACAGAAAGCTCTAATATGCTTTAAAACTGTACACAAGCTACATGTTGCACTTTACCCATTAACACCCCCCCCCACACACACACACGCACACGCGCACACACACAAACCCCTGGACAAGTTTCAAATAACCTAACAGGACAGCCTTTTTACATCTTGTCGTTTTAATGGATGCCCAGCACGTTGCATGTCGTTGTATATGTTCTCTGCAATGTCTAGTTTTGCTCTGCATCTGCATTTCTTTTCGAGTTAAAGTCCAAACGGGCGTAGATCCTCCTCCTCAGGGGTGAATTAGCACCTACACGGTTCAGCGGGACATGAAGAGTTAACTCAGCACAGTCAGAGCTAATTCAGCACCAGAAGAGTAAATTAAACACTGAAGGAATGACTTCAGGTCTGTGGAGTTTGTTGTCTAGGCTATATAACATTAGCCGAGCATTTCTCTACTTTTAACAGAGAAAAGACAGACTAGTCATATATTATGAAAAAAAAAACACCCGTTCATTTTCCCTACATTATTTTTTATTATAAAAAAGGGTCTCGATATGCAGAATGTTGGTCTATGAGGGGTGGACTGTTAGGCTGTGCTGCTCGGCTGAAGCTCCTCAGAGAGAAAAGCAAACTGTCTCTCAGTTTCTAAACATAATTACGGAGATTAGAGCAAAGCAGACAGAGCAGCTTCTTCCTGGAGACGGTCAGTTCAAACTAGGAAATTTACACTGTCAGATTCGCTCAGATAAATGATTTTAGTGATGAATGTGATATCCAGCAAATGAATTTGGTGATGAGGGTGATAGGCACTAAATAACTCTCGTGATAGCCTGCAGTCCGAGAGGCTGAAGCGCAGCTAACAGGAAGCGGAAAAACGGGTCGCGTGCTGTGGAAAAAAGACTCAAACCTGTCTCAGTGTCTGAGGAAAGACTTTTTATTTCTTTATTTTATAAATACAGATAAACGAATTTATAATATTCTTAAGTTTAGATATTTAGCGCATTTGTCATTTCTTTTTTAAGATATAAAATTATTTTTATATTATTATTTTTAATTATTTATTTTTATTTTTCCCGCCAATTTGGTTTCTATTTCCAAATATGGCACAGAAATATTAGAAAATCACATTCACGCTACTACCTTTCGATTAATTAGCCTTGTCTGGGTTGTATCCATCAGCCTGTAAGAAACAAAGGGGAATTCCACAGATTTTGTAAAATTTCTGTATAATTCAGTGGTTGAGATAGAAAGTCATTCAGGCTGGTTTCATGGGAGTTAACTGCAGCGAAACTTACAGACTCGGATTTCTTTACAGTGGTGGTGATGTGAACCAGGTTATGTCTACATACAATTCAGCTATTTTAGTTACTTTGCAAAAGTTTAGTTACTTTGTTATTTTGCCTTAAACACTATGTACACTGTTAGAAATAACAATACTGTGCAGGTACATTTTTCATTCATCAAGGTACGAACAATGTAAATGTGCCCTTAAAGGTACAATAGTGGTTTTAAGGTCCAACTGTGTACCTTAATTAAGTTTTTCCAGGTGAAAAGTATGTATTCCTTTTTATAGCTTAATGTTTAAAAACAGAACAAGAACATAAAAAGCCTGAGGACGAGACAATATTTCAATGCATGATGTTCCCTGACTAAAGGTACTGAGATGTACCCCTGAGGGTACCACCTCAGTGACAAGAGGGGTACTTTCTTAGTATATATTTTTTGTAGTGTATGTAGAGTGTATGTACCCCTCTACCATGAACAGATTTTCAAAAAATAGCTTTTAAGCCAAAATAGTATTTCTAAACTACTGTAACATTTTAAAATAATAGACTTTAAAGGCATTCAAGTCAAGTCAAGTCAATTCAAGAGACTTTTATTGTCTTTCCATCTATGTACAAGTACACAGTGGAATGAAATTACGTTCCTCCAGGAACAAGGTGCAACAAGGAACAAAAAGTACAAAGTGCGAACGTGCAGACATAGTGTGCGAACAAAAAATCAAGCTAGAAACAATACAATAAATACAATAAATTAAACAGACATTAGACACAGTAAACAGACAGGACAGTGCAGTGCCGACACAGCACTCATTTCTGAGCATGAGGTAGTGGAATAAGGTGCAGAGAGGTCTGGTTCCCATCACCACCACTGTGAACAATTATGGCTGCATTTGTCTAGAGCTGGGCAAATTATTATTATTATTATTATTATTATTATTATTATTATCATTATTATTATTATTATTATTATTTCTTTTCAAAATGTTTAAAAGAATGGTCAAAGTTATGCCATAATGCCCCCAGTAACATGTAACAAGAACACAACTTCTCCTCTAACTCCATTATGGCACTATGAAAGCCTAAATTACATTTTCTTATCAGTAAGGTTGCTGTTGATTATACTCGCTTTGTAACAACAAAGACATGTTGTTAGTTTTGCAGTCAGAGAGCATAATGATGAGGGAATGGATGTGATTGTGAGAACGAACACAAGCTGCAGTCTCCACCCTGACATGCTTGCATGCTTGCGGCTCCTGAAAGGTATGTGAACTTGGTCAAATGTGTATACGTGTGCGATAGCAAGTGTTTATAGAACTTTGTTTATGGCCAAAGATGTGTGTATGTGTTTGTGGTAAGAGATAAAACTGAACTACAGTAATCTTACCACTTAAACATGCATAATCAAATCACTCCCTCAGATCCACTGATGAAAACGTAAAAATGCACACAATTTCTAACTCTGCATCGCCTGCCCAACCAGATATAGAGCTTTCCTCGAAGTGTTTTGATTTTGAGTTATTGTTGTTGTCACTGATGTCCCTAAATAAGCAGGGAGAATCAACTAAACGTTCTTCAATCATCAACTATACTCTCTTCAGTCATCAGCTATATACTCTTCAACCATCAACATAAACATGCTTTTTGCCCCTTAATCCTATTGTACTATGGCTGTCTTCAGGTTTAAAACTTCAAGTATTCATGGTGCGTCATCCTCTCTGCGCAATGTTTCTCTAGTGCTTTCCATGTGAGAGTTTTATTGTTTTGTCAGGCATGAGTAAGCTGTCAGTCACATGCAATCATTAATTCCTTTCCTTTGACATCATGCGAATTATCAGCCACACGTTTCGCCACATTACCTTGATGTAAAATAGTAAAAGTAGTTGTGTTGCTGAAAGTTTTGCAGCAACTTTGATCATTGTTATAGTACATGACGCTCCTGTTGGATTTGCATGCTTAATTAATTTAGCATTAAGTGAGGTAGCCATCACAGCGTGTTGAAGTGTGCCTGTTCAAATGACCAACCTGAACTTTCCCGACCATTTATCACAACAATGGAATGTCTGAATGCAGGTGGTCGTTAATTTTCCAGTACCTTGTCCAGCTTGACAAATCTGTGTGGCTGGGTAAATATTTGCACTTGGCTCTTGTACCACCAGCGTAGCCCCCTGCTCAGTCTGACCAGGTTAGCCCAGCACGCACCCTTGTTATAACAGGATGAGTCCTTTCACTTCCACTGGTCCATGCCAGAGCCAGAGCACTGCGAACAAGACCCCAGTCAGCAGAGAAGAGAGCTCAGAGGCCACAGAACAAGCGGAACCAAGATACTGACACCAGGGAGTCTGAGGTGTATTTACAACAGGGTCCAGTAGGTGACAAAGATACATGTAATGTAACAAACGTGGACATTTATTGGCCACTTGGTTTTTACCTTATAGGTCCACTCTATAGGTGTACAATTATGGT